TTATGTCTTTCTTTCTCAGCTTCTGGAACCTCTTCTCTGGCTTCTTTATCCCTAGAATGGTAAGTATTCAATTTCATGATCTGAACACAATCAAATGCAGCTTTATTATTATTATTATTATTGTTAATTAGTACAACAAAAGTTTACAGAGCTGAGGGGTGTCAATTGACATCACTCAACACTGCGCTGCTCTGCCACTTTGATCTGAAATGAAAAGGGCCTTTTTAATATCATTCTTGTTTTTATTTTCTTCAAAAATATGAACTACTTGAAAATTTTGCACCAAATTCCAATTTGGTGGAGGTGGTACTACTCGGCATCTCCAGTGGCTTGGACAATCTATGGTCTAGTGACTTCTCAGGTTGGTGACAAACTTGACAAAGTTTATGTACCTGGAGAAGAGTTCGTGGAAATAAAGACATACCTTAAGAATTCTCTAGGGTTTGATCACTACTTCCTCGTACCTGTTGTAGTAGCACATATTGGTTGGGTGCTTTTCTTCTTCGTGTTTGCTTATGGAATCAAGTTCCTTAATTTCCAGAGGAGATGAAAAAAATGTTCCCACGTATTGTTTGATGTTTGAAGAATGGTGTACTCATCCTCCATTATGATGAGAAATACTGATGATGTTGCAAGATACAAAGGTAGCAAGCTCTCAAACATTGGCTAGAAATTTCCTGTACTACTCTCTTTTAGATTATTTTTTTCTTCCATCAATTGAACAAACCAGACATATCGAAAGACATTGGAGTGAGGTTACAATAATACATAACGTACATCAAATATGAACCCATTAAAAAGGTGCAATACAAGCCTATACTGCATATTTCACAGGCCTGGATATGAGTACCGGCTGATATTACTTACAAATAAAAAGGGATGGCATTTGCTGCATCTGAGAACACAACAACTCCAGCAGCTTCAGCAATTCTAAGTGCCACCATGGCCTTGTATGTTGCCATATTGGCATTCTCCATGAGTAATTGAACCCTTCGTCGTTTCTCCACAGCTGATTCCATAGATCTGTTTGCTGAAACTCTGGTCTGCTCAACTTGTTGCAAGGCATTTTGTTCTTCCACTTCATCTTCCTTCACAGCCACTGCTTGCAAAACACTTGGTTGTCTGCCTCTTCCATGGCATCTGAATGATCTCCTTCTGCGTTTAGGAACGAGTGGAGATTTCCTTTTTTGAAAAACCCTTAGTAGTGCCGATCGTCTCTGCTTCCTTTTCTTCAACCAATAACCATACACGGCTTCTACTACTTCCCTCCTACCCATATCAAGGCAAAGCTTAGCAGCCGCTTCCTCATTAGAGTAATCAACCGGACTCCAATAATAAGCCTTCTCAAAAGCATCAATCATTAACTCAAAGCTATCTTCTGAAAGCTGTTCAAGAAGGTCACTGCCAGCAAAGAACCCATTATTGAACTTCTTAAGCCACTCCTCATCTTCTGAATCCATGTCATAATTTGCCATCCTCTTTGCCATTGCTCTAGACACCTGATCTGCTTTTATGCAGATATATGAATATGGTCTCTGAAAGGGCAAACCGTCTACACCCTCAAAGGCTTGCACTTGTCGAACTCCAGGAACTGGGATGACCTTAACTATGGGAGCAGGCAAATAGCGGCCAAAGCTAGGTCCTCCAGCTTTGTATACACCACCGAGTGAAGGATTTCTAGCTTTCATCCTCCTCAGTGAACTCCTCTTCTTCTGTAAGCCATATTTTTTATCCAAAAAATCAGCAAACCCAGTTCCAATTTTGTTTCTTTTTCGAGTATACACAAGCCCATACCTCCTATCGGTACAAGACGCCCCATCCTCCTGCAATTTTTCAGGATCCTGATTCACCGCCTCATCTTCGCTCTTCTTAAACCGGGAATACTCGTCACCAGATTCCGACCACAGACGTCGCCCTGAACGGGAAACCCGGGGTCCATGCACAGCCTTTATAGCCCCAAACACC